CACACACACACACACACACACAAACACTGACTGGAGAAATACAGTGACCTTTCCCATTCCCTATAACTGCTTATTGGTGGGTCCTCTCTATACTGCACCTACTGTACAAGTGCTCACAGGCTAATCTGACATAACTTGATGATGCCCAGGAGAACACTGGGGTCAAAGGGTTAAGATGACGTTTGAACTTTGACCCCATGGTACAGCCGCACTGCCGACACATACGAAGCACACGACACCGTCTGAATGCGACCCCACTACTGAAAAGCGATCTAAGATGGGTTTGCAGAGTAGGCTGCCTTCATTAGGTTGGAAGACGACAACCACCCCCTCCTTCGATACTCTATAGTAGAATAGTGGAAAAACCTAGCGTTTTTGGCATTACTCTTTAAAAATTACTACAGGAATATTAGCGGTAATGTTTACAAACATTCAAAGACTGTTTACAAATATCACACACACTAATCAACTGGAGTAACTGGAATAAAGTTTTACAATCTCTAAAAATCGGAAGTGTTCCCAAAATTTTGGCCACAGTGGACCTGACTTGCAGCCCGCCGTTTTATACTGTAGCTACCGCACCCCCGACAAAACCAAAGCCGGCTTTTTAGACACAAGAACTTTTATCTAAAACTGACAGGAATGTCTACAGCCGTTTGAAGAGATTTTATCAATTACACAGAAACATGCGGATCCCTCCAAGGAAATACGATTATCGTTCACAAACGAATAATCTTAACACAACGTAACATTTCATTCCAGTGGTTTTTTTCAGCATGTCACCCCGTTCAGGATAAGCGGCTACGAGATTGAGTGATCAATTTTTTCTGCGGAGGCTGTTTTTAAAAATCCTGAAGCCCACATGCAAATACATATACTGTATTACAGTATTAAAACGAAGCCATGGCAATAGGATATATAGAGACCATTAAAATAATTACGAAAAAATGAACGTGCTTTTAAATGTTTAACTAAACGATGTAGCCTAATTTACAGTTAATATTATGCATTTACAACACATTAAAACAATTCACATTAATTAAATCCCTCTGTTTTGTATACTTGCCCGATTTTGACTGTACTGTTTACAATGCATTTCTAGCATCTGCATAACGTTTGTGTATGGAATTAATGAAGTCGCCAGTAATGTACCTTAACTAATAATTTGTTATATATTTTCTCTCATCGAAACAAACTGACGCTTGTACCCTGTGCTGCGCATATTAAGGCCGCCCGGTGTTCTGTCATAAAATCCTACCTATCGTAACGTGCTATCGAGCCTTTCTGCGCATATGCAGTTCCACTGTTTTGGGATTAGGGTTAGGTTTTAGGGGTTAGGGTTAGGATTTTAGGCGGTTTTGGGGGGTTAGGGTTAGGGTAAGAGTTAGGGATAGGGCTATCGATTAGCACTACGGTAGCATAACTCGACAAAGTAGTGTTTTGTCGATATATGCTGCCTTGTCGAAAAATGCTACCGTAGTGCTAATCGATAACCCTAACTCTTACCCTAACCCTAACCCCCCAAAACCCCTAAAACCTTTACCTTAACCCTAACCCCAACCCCTAAAACCTAACCCTAATCCCAAAACGCTGGAACTGCACATGCGCAGAAAGGCTCGATAGCACGTCTCGATAGGTAGTATTTTATGACAGAACACCGGCCCCTAACGGGACCCCATATGCGCTACATGCCCAAGAGAGACATGCGGGGGGCTTTCCGTAAGGACCCTTTTCCTTAATCTTTCCAACTCATCTCCACAAAGACAAGGAAAAGTTATCAGCGGAGACAAGACACTCTTGCACTCAGCTACCTTTGCTCTGCATCAATACAGTCGACATTAATTGCACATAAACTCTTCCGAGAAAATACTCTCAAATATTATATTATGTAATTTTTCGTGTATATAACAGTCATTAAATCATTAAACCTAACCGAGCACCATGATCATGCGACTAACAAATACGTATAATTTAACACAGCTTGTATTCCTAAATTCCAAAGAAACATAGGCAATCACGTTGCCGCTTACCGCAAAAGATGCAAGCGTCAATAACGATAAAATTCCCTCTAAAAAAATCCTTTGCTTTAGTAAATCACGAAAAATCTGTTTATAGACGTCCGTGAAAACAGCACGAAAAAGCAGCCTGCACGCACTGCCAAAGATAGCTACCTGTCAAAGTTAAGCCAAAAAGATGTTACTTTAAGCGTGCCGATCACGTGATTACATAATACGAGGGGCGGGGCTGGGCGGGGACGCAGACCCCTCCCACAGAGGGTGGGGCCCGGAGGTGGGGTGCGAAGTGCAAGGGGACCGTAAAATGGCATGAGCGGCGACACCCCGCACCCCAGCCCTCCCCGCGTCGGCAGCCGGCGGGGCGCTGTCTATGTGGACCTGGCGCACTGCCTTAGATTGTGCGCATGTGTTTCCGCAACTTTACCTTCTTTTCCCTCAAAAAGAAGACGGGGGTGGGGGCATAATATGAAAGGACACCCTGAAAAGAGAAATGTTTAATAGCGTTACCCTTCCAACCCGAGGATGCTGGTTTTCCTCCTAATTAAGTTTAATTGAAATACACGGCGCAGCATATGTCACTTAACATCAAGCGTTCCTTATAGACTTGGCTGAGCGGTTTCATTTCTTAAAATAAGAGGAAGCTCCGTTATTAAAAGATACGCTCTCGTGAATTTTTAATGGAACAATATAAATAACGGCAAGCATTCGTTCAATTAATCGGCAAGAAAAGCATAATTCAAAAAGGACAGCACCGGGGGAGGGCGATTACACACAGGAGCCGATTGAGGAGCTTTACCTTCTTTTATTAGCATTACACAATGGAAAATAAATACAGAGCTGTCAACACTCTGTTACAGATAATGCAGGCACACGGAAGCGGAATACCACACCCCTTTCCAGCGAAGACGGTAAAACTGGTAAACAGTCCAACCCTCGCCTAACCGTCCCATGAAAAGAAACAATGCGGCAAGAAATGACTTACTAAATTTATGTCGTGGCGAAAAAACAGTGACACGCCTTAGCATTATTCTTCAGTGCGTAAGATGTACAACAATAGTTTGCTCTGGGGTAATACAACTTGATCCCTTTTCATTCTACACAATCAAACACTATTGTTTTTTTTCCTCTGATAAACCCACTACGGATTTTCATATAATTTCATTCGTTATCATTCATATATTATAACATATCCAGGGTGCGTATTGTTAAAATGGGACACGTTAAAATTTGATTTCTGGAAAAATCATCTCAGTGTCTTGAATCCCTACTTGATACCATCTAAATACATGAATGCCCCTTGAACGTTATATATAGAAGAGAAAATAAAGTATTACCAAACACACATAGTTTAAAGTTTAACTGTCCCATTTTGCCAGGTGTCCCGTTTTCGCAATACTCGCCCTACCTCATTCACTTTGTATACATGCGCTGCATTCTATACATGACCGTATAATAACCGTATTGGCATTTCTGCGGGTGCGGTCTGTTTATGTTTTAAGACGCAAAATCAACACCTTCTGTAGCAGTTCAATACAAAGAGAAAAACAAACCACGTAGCCATCTGAAATGCAGCTAGTTCAGTTTACACTATTTAAATTTTGACCATAGCATTAGTCTGATTCCGCCCAGGATCCTCACGAGCAGAGCTGGCTCTGAGTGTTAGTTAATGTATCTGTGAAAACAAAACTAGTGAACACACAACCAACTATAGGGAGAAAACCACAGATGCTTAACTTAAAATTTACTGGCCCATCCAATCAGATGTGTGCGATATAGGCATTGATTAGCGTAAATTGCACAGGACACTGCGTGCTTGATCATAGCGTTAATTTAAACCTATACCTATACTTGGTGTAGAGTCGCGACTGAGCTGGCATGGTAAACATTGGGTCCCGTAGCATTAAAGGTCGCGAAACACTGCTCCGGCTCTGTACTGCCGTCAGTATTTAACATTCGCGCGTGTCTGTTCATTATTTTCATGCCACTTAATGTCGCATGCGTGAAAACACGTCATTTAAAGGATGTCCGTACAATACTTCCGTGAAAGCAGCTGTTATACCAGTATTTTATGCCCCCGCTGCCTGCTCCCTTTGCCATCGACGTTCTGGTCCCAAGTCCAGTAGTCGCAGCTCTTACTTCTTCGCTGGCAGCTGAGGATCTCAAAGTTTCAGTCATTATTTATCTCAATTTTATGCCGCATGCAATTTGTTTTTCAAAGTGATCCACAGAAGTACAGGTTGGGCATCTTAGGTTACGGTACAGCTGATGAACATTGTTTCCGGTATATGGGCAGACTAGGAATGAATGCCCTGTCCTTAACGATCACGCCCCCTACTGCTCAGCTTCTTGTACTCACATCTGTGTATCTGTAATGAGCTACCTTTTTCTTCTCTTACACTGAGTAGATGTCAGCCCTGATTCACACTTGCCTTCACCCAACCCTCTTGGCCTGAGCTCAAACGGTCTCACCCTGCATAAAGTGTAATCTGTGCCGTGTGACATGTTTCTCTCTACACCTGAACTCAGATTTCAATTAAATCTAATTAAATCCTGTGTCACTACTGACCAACAGCTGCTAATGACAAAATGGGCCGCAAGGTATTATGTTGTAGTTATATCCATGTGAAACAAATATGAGGGATATATTTCAAACACTTTTATTTAGTACTGGGAAAACAGGGTGTGACACCCAACCCAAACACCGGGATGTATACAGTACTGATGAATAAAAGAATTAACATTCGCAGAGAAACAAAACCTCACAACACAGGAAATCTCAGGCCATGTGTGACTGCCAGTGACGAGGTACAACAAAACTACACTGGTTTAGAATATATCCTTGATGATTTCCGTTTACATTTTGCATATTTAGCAGGAGCTTTTGTGTAAAGCGATGTAAAAGTGAGGCAAAAGGCACCTTACAGAGACGCGTGCCATGAGGGAGTCGGCCAGGCGTAATTACAGCTAGGCGGAGCTTCTTCTCAATGCCCAAGTGTCAGCAGGATTGGAGCAGGAGCTGCAGAACATCTGCCAAACAAAGCAAGAAACTAATCAGACTATTCAAAGACCAGAAGTGCAAGTCAGGCGGTATAAACTCTACCATACACCTGAAGATCTTTAACTCCTGTGCAGTAACATCACACTACGGACCTTTTTCACATGCAATAAATGTAAATATTTATATTTGTACCACTAATACTATTGTATTTATTACTATTTGGCTGCAATCGCTTGTAACTATTTTTCTATATTTTTCTAGAAGTGAATGTTTGTTTTAAACTATACTGCAGTTCACGGGACCCGGGTACCTAATTTCGTTCCCTGACATGCTATCCCATGTTCTCAGTATGACAATAAACATTCTTGAATCTTGGATCTTAAATAAGAACATTCAGGGAACACAGATACATCAGACTAGGAAAGGGGTTCATGGAACTGAAGGCCCTTGATCATGATTAACCCAAATCATCCTCAGCCTAAAAAATTATCCTGAATTGATGAGAGACCCAAGCTATGAGTGACATGTTTGGGTTTGCTTGTAAGCCAGAGGTGTTCGTAAGGGATGCAAGTACAACCAGCTTATAAATGTGTTGTTGCTAATACTTGTGTATTAGCATGATATTGACAAGAAATTACTTCAGAAGATTTTTTTCCCTAATAAGAGACCTGTGCTTCTGGATCATGCTGACATGTGGTTGATGAGAAGAGGAGCAGAGGCTGGTAGGAGTAGCTATGTGGTTTTGCAGGCCGTGTGTGTGTGTGTGTGTGTGTGAGAGAGAGAGAGAAGATGTTTTGGCATCTCCACTGCTAGGTCTCCCCCTAAGGGCGTCTCACACAGAGGGCCAGCGGAACAGGGATGGGCCAGGTGTCTGGGTGTGGAGCTCAGGAGAAGGTGCTTCACCATTCCCATGTCGTGCTGTTTGTTATGCGGCGTCTCCATGAGGACGCCGGCAGCGACGCGCCGAAATTCATCTCAGGCGCATTTATTGTCTGTGGTTGAGTAGTTGATTCCAACGACACACCCAGTATCAGCATCAAGGCACACAAAGGATAGATTATACGAACAAAATCAATTTATTATAATTGAATTAATTAATTATAGACCACTTAGGGAATTACTGGACCTCTCCCTGGTCTATATAGTTTGCTCTTGGCATTAAAGATCTGCATTATTTTTAAATATTGTAGCGCTTGCAAGATGGCCCTGAGTATCAGCGGCTGCATGCATATCCCAGCATGCCCAGCCGTGTAAATAGCCCCAGCATGTAGTTCTCATTGTTAATACTTGTTGTGTTCCCGATTGTCATGTGTGCCCTTGCCCTGTCTTATGTAAACCCGGTCTGATCCTAGCATGTCTTCAGCCATCGAGCAAATTACCCACCATGTGTGTGCCTTACGGTCCGGCGTCTGACCCGGAATCTGCATCAGAGTGCATACTTACTTGTGTCTAGACGATTGGTAGCACTTTTACAGCAGCATTTATTAGTAATTAATTGGGAATGATCTACAGCATAGAAAACATTTCTTTGAAAAGGGAAAAGAGCGGAGATGAAAAGAATAGAATCTATATGCTTATCCAGTGCAAGAACCAAATGACTGTTGAGTGGCTCAGTCGGCCAGGCCTCTGTGCTCACGCTTTCACCTCCCCTCTGTGTGCGACCTAAAGGAGAGCAAGTCGGGATATGCGAGGAGAAGCATTCCAGGGTGCTTTTGCTCATACCTATGCAAATGGAAAATGAAGCATCAACAGATGCCAGAGAGGCCCTGTTTCCTTATTCCCCAGAAGCTGCCCCCCCCCCCTCCCGGTAATCTGTGATGAGGTCAGTCAGCAAAAGTATTCAGTTACAGTTTCAGCTGTTCGCAAGGAGGAAGAATACAAATATTTAAACTATGGATGACTGTACGGCATCACGAATACGCCACATTTAGGCAATATACGGTTTCAACTTGAATAAGTGCAATTTACCTTGAAAACCAGTTACTAGATCTGGATTCTAGTGTTTCACGTTTATTCCTAAAGAATTGCTAAAGACAGGGGTGCAGGCTGGCTGTAGTGATACTATCCTTTACCCCTCGATTCATTCCTGCAAGAATCATATGCTCTTACTTACATTGAAAAAAACAAAATTGGTTTTTTAACTTAATATTGAATATTCATTAATGCAGATGTGCAGTTGTTATTATAAGAA